GTACTCCACCAATCACAGCCCCTTTCAGCCCTGCCAGTGGGAACCCTTTAATTACAGTCCCCACTTCACTTCAACAATGTGAGCTTGTTAATGATGTTCCACATTCTGTACTCACCGCCGCACCCTCTAATTGCGTCCCCCCCCTCCCTTCAATAACACGGTTGTTAGCGGAGCAAAGATAACCCCCCCTCACCTCGCCACCCCACCAGGGGCCGGCCTAATGCCCCCACTCAGGACCGTGCGGCCTTGGGAGCGGACGAAGGACAACTACCCTCCTCCCTCTGCCGTCCTGGCCAGTTCCTCGTCCGTCTGTGCCGATTGGTGGCTCTGGGCCCCCGTTGGCCGAATGAGGTTGAGGCTGGACGCGTCAGCGCTCTGCAGCTTTTAGCGGAGAGACTCGGATGTACTCTGCTGCTGCTCTCCTTCCCCTTCCCGTCAACCTCTCACTGCCTTGTTTGCAGTCCCTCCGTGTCCCCTCTCTCTCTAGGGGTGTATCTGCATTGTGACAGGGTGCGGTGTGTTTGGCGGAATGGTGTTGACCCCCCGGTACGACCTGTGCCTTCAGTCGCACTATTCTATTCATTTATTTTCATACAGCTGTAGAGTGAGCGACTGACCAAGATATATTTAACACATCGGCTCATTCGGCTAATTATTGCAATGAATGAAGTCGGTGATTCAACTCCATGTTGTCACTTACAGCTGCACAAAATGCATCAGGTAGCGCTGGATCCGCTAAAGGCGCAATTGAGACCCAAAAATATACCCATTTCCCTGTGTGTACTACCCAACATTTACAAGCTGCCGTTATCTGTATGCACTGACCTGACATCTGCAAAGTGTCATTTCGTCAGGAATTGAGCTGAGAGGCTGGATGCCGGCCATCTGATGCAACTGTGTTGCGAGTGGCCATAATGCGGAAAGGACATGCGGTCACTGACACTCTGTCCTGGTGGGGATTCTGAGCAGGCAAAATTTGGATCTATAATGACAATGGCTGGGAGAAATACAATAGGCTTCTGAGTGCCTATAATCCGTAAAGGAACACAAGGGATTCAGGAACTGATGGTGACCTGCAATAAAAGACTTGGACTGAATTTGCATTTTTGTATTACACTACAGTAGAACATGATAAAGAGTAGCTTCTGTTAATAGTTGAGCCTTCAGCTAACCATAGATGCAGTTATGACTATTCATTATGGTTAGCAGAAGCTATTAGCAACATTTTCTCTCCATGTCTGGAGAACTTTGCTGATGTCTTTTGGAGTTACTATGTAGTGCAGAGTGCTCAGTTTTCTGTATGATGAGATTTGTTTTAGTTCCATGCAATGCTCGCTTGTCTGTCCATTGAGTGTAAGTGGTAGGTCAATCTGCTCCTGTTTTCTTTCTCATGCAACATCGAGGCTCCCGGACTGAACGGTCCACAGATTCAGAGGATCTGCTGGTTAACGTGTTCAGAGAGTGAATCGGCCTCCAGTTATGCTCCGCCCACAACATCTTTATGGGTTTACTTGCAGAAAAGGGGTCGGAAATGTCCGTAGTCAAGCATTAAACCTTTTGTTGGGGAGTTGGATCATTTTTGGATTTTGTGGGATCATATCTGTTGTCCTTTGTACGTAAATTACACAAATGGAGGACTTTGAAGATAACTGGACAAAAGGCAGTTTGAGATATTTCTGATACAATGTTACTGTGCAACTACTTGCTTTGTCACAGAAAATCCTGGTTGAACCTCTCAATTCCCTACAATTGGAATTCAGAAACATTTCATATTCTGTTTCATTACCATTTTCTCATTTAAGGGGCTGTGAGACAAGCTATAATTACCTAGATCCTGCCTACACTTATCTGATACACGATGATCAACGATAGACTGTTTGTATTTGGTCTTTAATATTTGTTTCTTCAGCTGTTCAACCAACAATTTTAGAGCTGAATCACACAATTCTTTCACCCAGCAGCCCTTCAATCTTTGCCGCCTGGCTTCTCAGTAACATTTGTATTTTCCTACTCTGGAAACCAGTTCACAACAAACTTGTGGCATTAGCAATGTTCCCTTAGTTTGAGTTGAGATGCTTACAATACGTTGACCGCCGTTTAGCAGCAGTAGCGCCCTATTATGTACAAGCAGAAGTTTAACTACCCGTGTTGCGGTTGGCCAGTCAGCACAGTCCTTAACACGCATGCAAAACATTCTCAGCAATTATTTTCCAACATTTATGATAAAACGTCTGGCGTTTAACTTTAGTTGAACTTTGTATGGAGATATACTGCACATGTAGAAGACATCAAAACCTTAACATTTGCTTTCACTTTTACAATTGTTCATGACAGAGATAATTATATTTGCCACAATGCATTATATTTATGGCACCATGGCAAGGTAATGCACGCAGAGTTCCTGTTGAATTGTTTCTTTTGTGATGTCAAACATGATGTAGTGTATATATATATACTGAGGTAAATTGGGGGATCCAGCGCTTATAACATACCACAGCTTTGGTCCAAGAATGTCTTTAAATGTCTGCATGTGTGTGCGTGTTAATGACAGGAAGCTATTAGTGGTTGTTTATGTGTCTCCCCTCGTCACTGTAAAATGCAATGAGGCTATTATACTGTATTATCTACCAGTAAACCATCTAGGCACACATTGTGTTATGGAGCTCTATAGTTTAAAGCAGTAATAAAGATCCCTCAGTGCTGGTGGCAATAGCGGTAACTAGCATTGACAGCCACCGAGCGCGGGGGGGGGGGGGGGGGGGGGGGTGCAACTCCTCCACGAGCTTTCCGTTGGGGGTTTGACGCAATCACAACAGCTTACGACGCATTTTAAAACCAGTGGCGGAGCTCATTATTTCCCGGCAACACTTTGGGTCTCCACGCCAGCAGAGAAGCAGAGCGACGTTTCTGCAGAATGAGCCGCATTACTCTCTTATTAGGAGTTGCATTGCTGCGGTTAACAATGACCGGCACAGCTGTGTCCTCAGGTCGGCACCGCTGTGCACCGCTGAAACCATTTGGCGGAAGAACTGCGGCTCACCGGCTCCCAGACGTCTCTATTAGATACTGTTTGAGCATGCACAGCTTAATTATTTTGATTTAATACAACAATGCCCACAATTTCCCCATTCTGCTTCCTCTCCTTTCACTTTTTATTTGCACCGCGGCCTGCTTCATTCCGTCCCCCTTTTTCTTCTCCCCTTTCACCGTACCAATTCGCACCAGAGCAGGACTTGCGGCATGGCGAATATTAAATCAGATTCATTGTCCAGCAGTACAAAAGCATCTGACACGCGGAGATGTTGTCTAACTAACAACCTGGATTCGTGCAGTTCCCCCTCCGCCCCTTGCCCTCCGACATTGCAGTGTCCCACCCTTGCCCTCTTTCCATCTCCGGTCTGACATGCTGGTTGTGACAAAACACCCCTCCTCTACAACCGATAGACCCTCAATTTTCTCCCCGGAATTGGTTGCATTGAGTTTTCAGAATGGAACCAGAGCGGTTTGGGTCAGTGAGAGTGCTGTTTAAACGCTGGCCATCGGAATAACTATAGAAAGAGCTGGAGGCATTTATAGTCAGAAACTAAGCAGGACCATTTGACCGTTTGCCGACCTTTAACCCTGCCATCAGGATGTACCTTTTGAAAGGACGCTAAGCGGAATTGCTCGGCTGACGCGGGAATGCAGATGGTATTCACCGCCGAAGCACACAGCTGCTGATGAAATGGACGTTCTGGAGCCGTTTTAGAATCGGTTTCAATTAACAGAGAAGACCTGGATAGAAACCGGTCGGACACATTGTTAGAAGACTCACCAAGTAACACTGGTTTGGAGCTGTTGGGTGAGGCATGTTGGAACTGTTGCACAGCGAGGAGCTGTGCAGAACTTGTGAAATAACTGAAAGTTTGGTTTCTGAGACAGTTTTCAGCTTTTTGCCTTTTTTTGCCACCAAAAATGTAATTTAATAACTTCGATCAAGCTTTGTACATATTCACCCTTTTGTTGTGCTATGAATGTCTTTGTAATTTCAACTTCTTTTCAGCTGTTGGATTATTAAACTGCTTACTTATTTGTCTGGCTGCATTCTAAACACCATCTTTATTATTTGCTCCCCTCAGGTATTTATCTGTTCAGGCAGAACAATCTCAGCAAAATAGTTTGATGGCAAAAAATGTTTTCTCAGTTTTTTTAATTTTTTTTACCATAAGTCAAGATAACATGGGCGCAACGACCTCAGCAACGACCAGACCCGGTCGCTAGACAGTCACAATTAAAACCTTGCAGTGATGGAGCTGCCAGGTTGTGTGCTCATGCGCACAGTACTTATGTTACACACCTGCTGTCCAACGAGAGTTCATATTTTCAAACTGTAAAACATTCGCATCCACAGAGGGAGCAGAAGCAGGGGCGTCATGGAAACAAAGGTAATGGCCCCGTCATGGCTCCTTGATGCAGATTCCATTTTGATTCATCAATTATTCCCGACATGTTGTTAGATGTTGCGAACCAAAACAGGGTTAATATAGTCGCACCTGTGTGCCCAATGTTTGCAAGCAAGCAATGGCAACACGAAGTGTGTATAACATTGGTTTTACATTGAAAGCATTGCCCCTCCCACTCTACTGGATCCACTAATCCTGCATCAAACTCCTAGTGAGACGCAATAAAAGACTACATCCAGATGCCAAAGTAAAGCATTACGAGGATTTGTAACTGACGCAATTACTGAATTTAGTAAAGTAATTCCTTTCCAGATCCTCCGATGCATCACGTGAAATATTTCTGGCTTACCCATGCATGGTATTAGCGGGGTAATAACCACAGTCTATCTGTTAGTCTATCTATTAGCGGGGTAACAACCACAGTCTATCTTCAGCCATTTGCTAATGACATTAGGGGGCATTAGGGCAGGGGAACTTCTCTTAGAGTTTAACAAGCTTCACTCCAGGTTTATATCATTATTGATTCTGTGCTCAGAGCTTTTTTTATCAATCCATTAGGGCACAGGCTGCAGCATGGCAGCCGTCCAGACACCGGCATTAACATCCCATCTCGGGGCCAGAGACACCGGGAAGGTCAGTGGAGTGTGTGTGTGTGTGTGTGTGTGTGAGAGGGGGGGGGGGGGACATTAACTACTCTGTTGCAATGATTGCCATACAGCAGCACTGCAGTATTCAATTTTTACCTCTGTGTAAGATGGGAGTGAACTGCGGTAAAATTGATTACTTTCATCCTGTGTAAGAAGGATGTACAAACACTGTTTGTGAATATTAAAGTTTGCTTTGTATGCGAGGTGGGGAGAAGATTATTCGGACTTGGAAAACTTATCCAGGACATTACAGTGAAGGAGAAAATTGCCATAAAAAGCACTCTTCATTGCATTCATTGGTATTTCACAGAGTTGTGTTACAATTGAGCTTAAACAGGAAATATATTGATCTCCATTGAACTGAAATGTGCATATAAGAAAAGAGTTAAAAGACATTACCATCTTCATTTGATCTAGAAAAATGCAGTTTTTTGTTTACTTCTGTTAACTCACACAAGGGAGCTGTGCCTGTACAGTTCAGAGGGAACAAGTAACAGAGCACATAATGTAGGGTATGAATATTTTAAGAGTTGTGCATTCATCATACTTTGTTAATACAACAACCTATTCAGCAGCAAATTGGAAGATGAGTGGGCGACACTTCTGAAAGCTTTCCTTCCCTCATGTTGGAGCTCTTGCACAAAACCAGCAGCATTCATTATTGCTCAGTCATTTTTTTGGCACAGCCCTGCCATCAGCAAAAGACAAATTCTGAAAAGCTCACGAGTTGTCGTTAAATCAAACACTTATGGATTATTCATTAAAAAGTAGCAAACGGAAGACATTTATAAAGTGCCACCTCCCAACCTTTTGGCAGTGAATCTAGAGACCACTTTGTAAACACTCACAGTACGCGAGCTCCACCTCAGGTAATTGATCCAAGGACACGTTAGATCTCTTACTTTTTAGAATTATTTTTGCGTGTTTTTCACGCTTACAAAGGATTAACAACCCTGGAAACCATCAAATTCCCTCAGCAAACTTAAGTCATTAGAACTGGGTGCAGGATTACGGAGGGATGGCAGAAACATTCAAATGATTTGTTTTATACTTGCATAAAGAGAGACTGTCCCAACATATTGTAGTAGGCCATGTTTACTAAAGTAGCCTGCAACGGACCAACACTTCAGTGAGGGTCGTTTCCATTGGGACGTCACCTTAAAGGCACCACAGTTCTCGGACATGCTTGGAGTTGATATTTGCCAGATGACCTTAAATCCTCACACACTGCTCCTTTAAATGGGAATGCAATGCAATATAAGATTGAATTACTTGTTCAAACAGTGTTTTTGCACACACAGTTTTGTCCACACGCAAGGACAGAAATAGCTGCCTCTTTTCGTTTCACGGGAAACTATTTCCATAATTTTGCCTCCGGGTTAATTGCATAATCTAATCATCTATACAGCCGTGTCTAGCGTAATACATAATTGGTTTTGAGAGCTTTCCTCAAAAGGGAAATTAACATGAAGAGATATTGGTGTAGTCTCCTTGTTGCGTGACACCAAATACTGTACGTCTATTAGCTATCGCAACAGTGTCCATTCTGCTTGACGTTCATTCCCGAGATCTTCGTGAGGAACAAAGTTTTAGTCTTTGCATCTGGATCGTATAATGATGATATTAAATCACTGCCATATTCTTACCAAATTTGGTTGAGGAATGTTTAATCAACTACTTGAACAAGCAGTAAGTTCTTACGTGGCTTAACATTAGTTGAACAGTTGAGCTGCTTTTCATCGCCTTTTTTCGAAAGAAATAGTTAATCAAACACAAACACAAATAAGTTTTGTAAAAGAAGATCTGAAGCTGCTGCTGCTTGACTTTTCGGAGGTCGGAACAGGGACCCTGAAGAAAGCATTGATGGCCCCCGGGCCGTGGCAATGCCTGCCAGCCTGCCAATGGCTGCCTGTTCACAGTAAAAAATTTACACAATTATCATCTGGTATCAAGAAAAATGCAGCGTTGCTTTTATGTCTGCCGAGTCAAATAGTGTCGTCTCCAATTGAGTGGAACTGGAGTGACTCAAGCTGCAGTGGCAACATGAGATTCCGCATCACATATTTATCCATATTGTTTTATGTCTCCTAAAGGCAATGAGGCCAGACAGAGCTGCATGCTCGATGCTAATCTATCTAATTGTGCAACAGGGCTGAGTGCGAGCCCGCAGCTGGGAAGCATCCCGGAATATAATTCCCAATAGCGTCCTTTTGTCAGGATCAAATGGGATTGGATCTGCGACTGAATTTGAAAATGTGCTTTCCTATACCTCTTTAAATCGGCTTAGGAGCTCCCCCTCTGACACTCAGTCAAACAAATCACAGTGGCAGGGAAATGTTTTAAAATTGACTTTGTTGAAGAACATTTTCCATTATTGTAGATCCATGAAGCCTGAAGTCTCTGCATTTATTTGTTTTAAACAGTGTCACATAGTTTGAGTTTTATAGATTCAGCTTGTGTTTGAGCTTTGCATTGCTGAAAATAGAAAAGTATACATGAATAAATTCTGAATTTGTTTACGCTCAAACGTTATTTGTGTGGGGTTTTTTCAGCTCTATGATGCATGAAATGTTCCCTTGCTTGAGTGTTCTCCTGAATGCTGCGAATAATTAGGCTTGATTCTTTCATTGCTTTTCTGCAAGTAAGCGGGACAAAACAAACCTCTTTCTGGATGTATTCCTTTGGAAAATGTTCAGCACTTGGAAAGTTAACCAGGAACAAAGGTGGAGAACCAGGAGAGATGTTTGACTGTTCTGTGATCATACTATTATTACATTTCTAATCAACATATTTCCGTCAGGGATTACGTCGTAAAATTTTGTCACTGTGTAACGGTTCAAAATGAGGATGAAAAGATGCTCTTCGTTTCATTTCTTTTTCAATTATATTTTTTGATGATTCCAAAATCAAAATATACCACAATAAAATAATAAAAAAACAAGTCCTCAAAGTCGTCCGGCAACAAAATCCGTCTCCGCCGCCTTTTCCTTGGGCTCAGAGCCTCGAGCTTGAGGGGTATGATTCATTATGGTGACATCAACAAAAGATGCATTTTGGTGGAGGGGGGGGACTTAAACACCCAAATCCCAGAGAGTTAGTTTCATGGTGGTTATGTCCCCTGTCAAAGTAATGGATTAAGAGTAGCCGAAGAGAGTGAGGCACACAAATTAGGTGGTAAAATGTGGAACACAGAAAAAAACAAGGCAGAGGGATATAATGAGAAGCGTTAATTTGCATACTGCATAAGGTCCTTTTTGTAAGGTTACTTTAGTTTGAGTAATGTCTCACTCAGGGTGTTTTTCCAAGCAGCCCTTGGTTATAGTGTTCAACAGATAACTTGTGCGTACATATTTACATACTATACGTACATTACTGTATAGTAAGTGTATAGTAAGTGTTCATGGTGAATTTGACATCCATGCCAACAGATCGATTGGTATCAAAACAAGTTTAAATTCAGGTGTTGAGTAACCTTTCTGAGGCACAATCAGTATGAGTAATCATAGATGTACACACATTTTATTTTGCTTGTATATTTATTCATTTTATGTGTTTATATTGTTCATTTTCTTTGCTTGTATGTTTCTAATTGTCATGTAAAATTGCACCAATCACCAGAACAAATTTAGGTGAAAGAAAAGAGGCAGAATCTTATGCTCAAAAACCAGGCAGAACAGGGGAAGGTTTTGCATTGCGGTTTCAATGCGAGTGAGCTTTTGTCAGTAACGACTGGTTACTTTTGATAAATGGAGGTCGGCCCGGGAAGAGACGGGCCAACGAGGATAGATAAAGCGCTCCTAGAATGACCACCCCCACCGATATGTACGTGCAGCCCACTGGCCGCTAAACCCAGAGGTTTAGACAAAGGCTGAGTGACAACTCGTGCTTTGCGATTCCACCTCTAAACACTTTATCGCTTCTGGCGCGCCTCGGTGCTTCGCCCACTGATGCCGGCCTCCGATAGGCTTGTGTTTGGGAGCCCGCTCCTGATTACAGATATTGTATTGCAATTTGCGATCTTTGAAAGCAAACCGTGATAGCATCACCGTTCTAAAGTTAGTACTACCAACACCTGAAAGGGTGACACCTCCCCCATCAATATGGTTCAGTTTCAGCTTCAGTTGCCTGAGCATTTAATTGGGTTTCCATCCATCCATACACACACACACGTATATACGTGTGCATGTATCTATCTATATGTCTGTGAAAACAGTTTTTTTTTTTTAAAAACACCTCTTTCAAGGTGAACGAACATGCCATCTAGACGCATCCGAAGTATTGACCAGCTTGCCAACTAGAGGAGGGATTTGAGCGGACTGGCGGTGAGGAAATGATATTTTCAGGGTTACGCCAGCTCACTTACCTCAAGAAGTAAGTAAGTTACGCCCCTCTCCCCTCGCAGATGTTGGATTTGCATCGCAATGGGTACCGCCAGCCTGAACCACGCGCGGCGATACGAGTTTCAAAGTCTTGTATCGCTTATTTGGCAGCCGAGGCGAGGAAGCTCTTTAGCTTGAGTCACGGGACCACTGAGCTGTTGTCCCCTTGTTCTCCGAGAGGCGAGGACCTTTTGCTTGATGTTTGCTCAGCCGGCCGGGTGTCTATGAATAGAAATAGTTTGGTAAATATAGCCTTTGTTTGTGTATATTCCTCGACCCCCCCCCCCCCCACACTTCTCTCACTCAACATGAAACATTTTTGTTCCTCACCGGGTAAACTTTATGTTTGGTACCAAATGAAATGGGATGCTGGGTCGATGTTACGTCACATCGGAACAAGGTGGCCACGACCTGAATAACTATGCTAACTGCTGTTTGCATGACAGCAGCCTGAATGAGGACACGGCTCATGACCACGTTAATTCAGTTACCCGCGTAATGTATGTAGACCATATGCCAAGAATGGAATGCCTTCATAGGAGAATTTATTTATTCAATTGTTTTATTATATTATTATGTGCGTACTAACCACTCTTCCACCTGGCCT